GTAGAATAAGTTGACATACTTGCAAAGACACTTATTGTCAGTTTATCTGTTGGTTGACCATCAAAATAAAGTGTTAGCATATATTTACAGTAGCAGACATACTAATACTCTAATGACCGCTAGTTGATTTAGAGTCACTTATCAACAGCTGTTTAAAGGGTACCATCAAAATAATCAAACTGATATTACAATAAAAATTGTTCAAAGCAAATGTGTCATATTACACATTCATCTGATCTGATATCTGATCTTATGGCTGTTTGAGAATATTTTTTTAAATTATTATTATTATTACTACTTATAAGTGGTCTTTGACTGCTTTAAGTAAAGTAGCATAAGAAAAATGGCAAAATATGAGACTTATAATACATTATAACTATGAGAAATATAATCCATTGGAAAAGTGGATGCAACGTGTTCATTGTGTTATAAATCATCATACTCTTAAAAGCTATAACCACAAATAAGTAAATATTATAATATATTAAAACTGTTCTTATGAATATTCATGAGATGATACAACATATTATAAGGTTTTTTATAATGCATTGTGCATTCATTATAATGCCTTAAGAATACCCTTATAATGTATTATAAATACAGGCTTCATAGAAAGTGTTTCCGAAAGTTTTAAAGATGGAGAAGGTAGGAATGAAGATAAGAGATTCATTCATAAAGCAGTATAACGTTCTGCATTATTTCATTCATACTAGTACTTAGAAGGATTTTCTGGTGCAAATATTATGAAAGAGCAAAAACGCAACAAGGAAATGTCATTGTAAAGCATCAAAGACTATTTGTAAAGATGCAGAGGTTATGTATCAGTCTTCTAAAATGCAACAGACCTTCCTTCTTCCAAAAAACTGAATTCAACAATGCATTTAATATATTCTAAAAGACTACCCTACATCATCATATTGATAAGACTTAATAATCCAGATAATGTCATATTGTAATAATTGTATAGTTCTGTTGTCACATCGTTTATTGATTTATATACATGCAGAGCTCAAAATTGTATAAATCATTTACATTGTATATGCCACCCAATAGATGACATTTACTACAGCAAAGGTGAAAGGGAAGACAGCACGAGCGTAGATATCAATGGTATCAGCATCAATAGGTTTACACTTGCAGCATTTCTTCTCATCCCTGCTTTCCTTCTGTGCCCGACGGGACTGAGTGCCACGAGTCTCTTCATGCAGATCTCCAGGAGGGTCAGTGGCCCGCTGGGCCCTGTTTTGCCTGTTTGATACGAGGAGACCCTGGTTCATGCCAGCCACAGAAAGCGAAAACAGAACCATGGCCTGCTTTCCATTCTTTACCATGGACTGCAAAAAAACATGAGGGAGGTGTTTATTAAAAGTCATAGATAGGAATTATTATTATTATTATTAACTATTTTTTTATTATTATTAATTATTTTTATTCTGCTCTAAACTGAATTAGGTATAAGGCTTTAATCAATATTGTGCCATTCTATCATGACGCAATATATATATATATATATATATATATATATATATATATATATATATATATATATATATATATATATATATAAAAATAAATGTAAATTCAGGTAAAGTGGGCTTGTAATTTAAATTTGTAATTTAGATACCCAGATGTTTTTCATTTATTTATTACCTTTGTTAAGTTTAAGGTCCAGCTGTAATATTTAATTTGAATTCAGTTTTGTTTTGAAGGTACATAACAATAAAAATTTTGAGATAATGCAATCTGGACTCCGGTCTTTTCAGGTAAAGTCTGTCTAAACCTAACCCAAGTGCAGTTTAGTAAAGAAGATATAACACACGGCTATATCTAATTTGAAAGATATAACACACGGCTATATCACGGCAAAATCTAATGCAAATTATATCATCATAAACTGACAATACACACTAATGCCAATGATCTCTGGAAAGAGGTTTGGAAAGAGTGATATTTACAGCACATTCCGCATTTGGCAGTGACCTCTTCCACTTGGATTTCCACTTCAGACCTGGGCCATGCTGCAGTGGGAAGAAATGAGTCTGATCCGTTTCACAGTCTTGAACATGAAGCACTAGTGAACGATGAACTCTTGAGAAGGTCCTTGGTCTGGAAACACGCAAATGGAGGAGCCTTGAAGGTGAAGGCTCTGAAGTCTGTACAGAAGATCCGGACAACCTGGAACACGCAGGAGAAGGATCGCTGAAGAGAAGGATCTGAAGTTGTTGCAGAAGATGGTGGTCACTAAGCTTGTGGTCATTGTTGCCGTTTCCAAACTCCGCAAATCTACATCTTGCAGAGCTTCTTTGTTTCTCATTAGAACAACTTAGTTTAGCAGCTTAACAACAACGATTTTGTACTTAGCGCAAAGACCACAACTGCTTAGGATAATTCTTTGTGTTGAAGAGAATCTTTTAATCTTTCCTGAGAAGGAGGGATTTGCAAGTTGGTCAGTTCCAGCGTTTTGATTGGAATGCTGAATGGAATGCTGAAGTCCTCATCCTGCCTTCCACAAATGATAACCTTGAGGGAGAACAAAGCACTTCCTGAACGGGTGTTACGGTTTATGTTACCCCCCTCTCCACAAGAGGTAGTGTCGTTTAATCGGAAGACAAAAGGCATTCTTTGTTGTCCACAAAGCCTGATCAAATCAAAATGAAGCTTTCCAGTCGTCGACAGCTGTCCACTACATCATGAAGGGCCATACTCGAAAAAAACTTTCCGAAACTTAAACAAACCCTGAAGGAGTGTATTTGGCATAGAAATACTCTGTCCTACATTCAAATCATTTTTGGAAACGTTGGCCATGTTTAGCATGAGAATCCAACTCTTTAACAGTGTAAATAACTCGGAATGCATGAAATAGCATTAGACCTCCCCTTTAAAATCCAAGAATGAGCAGATACACAATAAACAAAGACATGGCTTGGCTTGGCTTGACTTGATTAGACTAAACAAGAACTTGAATATGAACACAACTTACCTTCAGTGGACTTTATTACAGAAAGCTAGACCTTCAACAGTGAACCCAGCAGTTGCCTTGCTATGTTTTCGGCAGGGGAATCGCCCCATTATGTTCAGTACTTTTGTAAACTCAGTCACTGTGTGGATTTTAATGACGTGACACTAAAATATATTTTTCGTATGGGTTTGAATGAACCCTATCTCTCACATCAAACAAAGTCACAACAAAGTTGGAGAAGTCGTGGCCTAATGGTTAGAGAGACAGACTCATAACCCAAAGTATCAACTCACGAGTCTCATACTGGCAGGGATTGTGAAGTGAAGTGAAGTGAAGTGACATGTGGCCAAGTATGGTGACCCATACTTGGAATTAGTGCTCTGCATTTACCCATCCAAAGTGCACACACACAAACCGTGAACACACACCCAGAGCAGTGGGCAGCCATTTATGCTGCGGCGCCTGGGGAGCAGTTGGGGGTTCGGTGCCTTGCTCAAGGCCACCTTGCCGTGGTATTGAATGTGGGAGAGAGCGCTGTACATTCACTCCCCCCACCTACAATCCCTGCCGGTACGAGACTCAAACCCACAACCTTTGGGTTATGAGTCCGACTCTCTAACCATTAGGCCACGACTTCCCCCCTGGGTGGGGGGAGTGAATGTACAACGCTCTTCAATACCACGACTGAGGTGCCCTTGAGCAAGGCACCGAACCCCCAACTGCTCCCCGGGCGCCGCAGCAAAAATGGCTGCCCACTGCTCCGGGCGTGTGTGTTCACTGCTGTGTGTGTGCACTTTGGATGGGTTAATGCAGAGCACTAATTCCGAGTATGGGTCACCATACTTGGCCACATGTCACGTCACTTTTTTTTAAACAAACATTTAACAACATATTTAACAAACCCAAAAACATATACCTTAGGTTATGAGTAAAATTAATAAGTTTACTCAATTCATTTGTAAAATTCAAAATAACTGAGTGATTTATAATTTTTCATGATAGAACATGAGATGTAGCCACAATCACCAGGGTCATAGAGCATTAGCCAAAAAAAATTTTCTTAATAGTGTCCCTTTAATTAAAGACCATTGGTATGCTCTCAAAGTGTAAACCCACTGAGCACAGTACAATTTTAAATGGCCCACTTTACCTGAATTCCCCCTACTTGAGTTTTGAGAGTATATAAAATGCTTGAGACTTGGTGTCCTGTGATGGGTCAGTTACAGCACACAGTTTCACCCTTCTATGCAAAATGAATCTTCTGATGGTACCTCTGTACTCTTATTCGTCTTGACTTTGGCTTTCTCCTTCTTGCTGTAGTCTGCATTATAGTGAGCAAAAGCATATTCGATCAAGGCAGCAAACACAAAGACGTAGCAGATCCAGAAATACACGTCCAGAGCTTTGATGGCAGAAGCACGGGGCAATGATGAACGAGCACTGACCATCAGTGTTGTCATGGTGAGCACTGTTGTGATTCCTAAGGTTAATGGACACATGGAAATATACATTTAACTTATCAGGTTAATTTGTGTGTGAGATTTGTTTTAAATGTGCTCATTTTTACTGATTACTGGTTTCAATTGATTTCAATGTCCACTTTAGACCACTTTACACATTCATAACTAACTGCAACTTCATGTCAACAAATTCTCATTAATTTGCAGCTACATGTCAACTGACTCATTTGAGTATTAGTAAACTGTTAGGTTAGGGTTAGGGTAAGTACTAAGTTGACATGCACTAAAAAAGTTACTAGTCAGTAGAATGTCTGTTGGGGGACCATCAAAATCAAGTGTTAGCCGATATTATATCTACTAATACTCTAATGACTGGTAGTTGACTTGTAGTTGCAAAATTACTTACAGTAAAAATGTTAATTACTTACAGTAAAATCTCTAAAGTGGACTATAAAAATAAAATGTTTACCTATTGATTTTTTTTAAATATACAAATTTTACTTTTTAAAATACATTAGATATGGAGAATATTAAAATATATAAGGTGAAATGTACATTTTATAAACTTTAAGTTTTATGAAATTAGCACTATTAACACTGAAATACGGACCTAAAGACACTCTTGCTGGTACAGCTGATTGGCTGATCCAGAATGAAACCCATGACATGGCAACCAGTAAGATGGAGGGCATGTAGGACTGGATGATGTATACACCTCGGTTACGCCTTAGTTGAAATCGTAAGCTGAGACGTGGAAATCTCCCTGCTGTTTCAAGAATGACAATATTTGGCTTGAAAATATGTAATGCAGTTTTTGAGTAAAAGAAATCAAATAATTAAAAATGACAACAACAGTTGCTGCAGCATTAGCAATTAAGGTTTTGTCAGAGTTAAGTAATATCAGATATATCAGACAGTGTCGATGAAAAGCCTCACCAGATTTAAAGTTAATCATCTCTGTGACAAAGCGATAATCTATAATGGTGAACTGGGACAGCTCCAATTTGTCCAGCCCATGGATGTGTTTCTGACTCTCTGACCAGTGATACACAATGTCTTCTGAAGAGTAGCCATCTGCAAAACCACCAACAGGAAAAAGAAAATATCTTGGTTTGCCTTCAGCTGCATATGACATTTCTACTTGTCACTCAGACATGATGCTCTCATAACGTTACGTTCATACAAGAACATAAAAGTAAGGAATATGTAAGAATATAAGAAATAAGGCAATTCAAAAGATGGAGAAGTGTCAGTGTTATGATAAAAGAAGCAAAAAAAAAAAAAAGACAATGAAAAACCTTATTTTAAACACATGGTTATACAATGGGGAAAATAATGATTTGATCCCCTACTGATTTTGTAAGTTTGCCCACTTACAAAGAAATGAAGGGTCTATAATTTTTATGGTAGGTTTATTTTAAGGGATAGAGAGAATATCAAGCAAATAATCCAGAAAAAAAAACACTGTACAAAGGTTATAAATTGACTATATTTATTCAAAGGAGGCTTATGCATGTATCTTTACAGAAGCAGCACAGAGAGCCGCTTCCGCAACGTGCGTGGCGCGGCTGGAATAAATAACAAGCTCCTCCTGTGTAGTTCGCGGTTGATCCCTCACCTTTATCATGACCATCCTTTTCCTCATAAGGCGAGATCTTGCATGGAGCGCCAGACAGAGGGCAATTGATGGTTATTTTGCATTTCTTCCATTTCCGATTATTCACACCAACAGTTGTCTCCTTCTCAAAAAGCTTCTTGCTGATGGTCTTGTAGCCCATTCCAGCCTTGTGCAAGTCTACAGTCTTGTCTCTGACGTCCTTTGACAGCTCTTTGGTCTTGTCCATGGTGGTGGGAGAGGTTTGAATGGAAGATACACATTCTATGGACTGGTTTCTTTTATACTCATAACAAGATGACATTAGGAGTAATTTCTTAAACTGACAGGACTAATCTGTGTTCCACTTGGGCACGTAACCAATCTGTGGGAGCCATAATTCGTGCTGGTTGGTAGGGGATCAAATACTTATTTTACTTACTGAAATGCAAGTCAATTTATAACCTTTATATAATGTGTTTTTTCTGGATTTTTTTGTTGATATTCTGTCTCTATCCGTTAAAATAAACCTACCATAAAAATGATAGACCCTTAATTTTTTTGTAAGTGGTCAAACTTATAAAATCAGCAGGGGATCAAATAATTATTTTCCCCACTGTACATGGTTTTTGTAATATATAAAGTCACAGGCATTGTTGTGCAGGAATTATTTTCGTGCTCATGAAGTTGAAACACTGTAAGTGCGAAAGAAAGATGCCAGATATAAGTTTTCCCTTTACTCACAGCTTTCCAAGTCTAGCATGCATTCCTGTTCATCCATGGGGTATTTTGTGAGGTCCATGTCGCATGCAGCTGTAGATGTAATTCTGAAAAGGGAAACCATCATGATTACATTTTGAACATGGAGCAGGTCACAGAGAAGAAATAAACCCTCTGTGGTCATGTGTTAAGACATGGAAAGTAAATTATAATTATTTTAAAATAATGATGTTGCTGGGATGTTCTTTCAGGTTTTTTTTTTTTGTTTGTTTTACATATTTTTCTATACTGTTGCCGTCATTCGTTTGCTTTACACAGCTCTCAGAAATATGTGATTGGTCAATGGTGGAATTTATTAATTTATTAAGTAGATGCAATGCCGGATTATCCAATGGGCATTATGGGCACGGGCCCAGGGTCTTTACACTAAGTGCAAATAGCGAGCTTGTTGGCAAACGCTATTTACACTAGCTCTACCCAGCAATGTCTGTTTGGGACACTCAAGATTTACAAAAGACACATTCAATTGTGTCAATTAAATTAAATGTTTTTAGTGGTGTAGGCAGTAGAACGTAAGACTTTCAGAATTGGCTTTTGACGCGATCGACCCAGGTTCGAATCCACCTTTTTCCGAGCTATATATAATCACTTATACTCTATGGGTCTCATTCATGAAACACAAGCAACACAAATTTTTGTGTAAATCGTCCGTAAAGCTGTTCTGATGTAAACTTTCGAATTCATGAAAATGTTCGTATTTTCAAAATGTTAGTTGGTTCTAAGCAAACTCTAAACTGCTCCCTACCACGTGTAATGGTGCGTAAAATGTTCTGTGTTCTTTTTGGCAAACTGATGTCACTGAATTTTGATGCACTGCCATCATAATATTTTACAAGTTCATTTGCTCTGTCTTTATTTTATTTTATTTTATTTTTTTTGTAGCTGAGAGTTAATAACTGTTTAACTTTGGGTAAAACGCAGCGCTCGTCACTGTCACTTTTTACCCAGCCGTCCAATCAATGGAGGAAGGGCGGGACAATTACTACACTGACTGAACAACAATGGAGAAGTTAATATTACTGGTTACTGCATTTTTATATTCAGTAATATTCTTCAAAATTAGATAATAGTAATAGGTAACACTTTATTTCGATAGTCCACTTTAGACATTCTATTAACAGTAAGTAACTTTGCAACTACATGTCAACTAGCAGTTAGTAGAGTATTAGCAGACTGTCTGTTTAATGTCTTCTAACACTTTCTTTGTCAACTTATTCTACTAACCCTAAACCTACCCTAAGTCTACTCTGAGAGTTAGTAGACATGTAGTTGCAAATGAATGAGAATTAGTTGACATGTAGTTGACATGTAATTACAAAGTTACTTATAGTTAGTAGAATGTCTAAAGTGGACTATCGAAATAAAGTGTAACCTAGTAATATGTTATTGCCATGGATCTTCCAAATCATAGCAACCAAAGCGTCTCAGCTGGAAGAAAGCTGTGCCCCAAAAGTGTTCTCAAGAGCCACCAGTTGGCCGTTTTTAGAAGAGCACCTGGCATTTTTCAGCTGGCTAAAAACGCTTTGGTGGACACATGTTAATTGACTATTTATTGTTAGGCATATGCTCTATTTGTCTTTTTTGCATTTATGAAATATTATGAATGATTGGAATTTATTAACATGCACATGTTCAACTATCAAATCTGATGTTTACAAGGCATTTGTGAAACTGGAGGAGAGTTTTCGAAGTCTGTTTTACACACAAATTACTTTGAATTTACTCATATTTTTACGCAGGTTTCATGAATGAGGCCCTATGTTATTACTGCATCCGCTCAATGTACAAAAATACTGAGGTGGAAATAGTATCTGCCAATATAAAGTATAGATAGCATAATTACTATTTACACTTATTGCAAAGATTGCTGCTGGTCCAGGAAAGCATTGTTGCAATCATGTGGTGTAAATCCTGTATGATGGAGAATATCTACACGTGTTAATATTGTCCTTCAGGTTGTGATCATAGGCTGTAACCTGTCAGTGTAAATCCTGTATAAGCTAGAGGTGTTTCCAACAAATAGTACCCTATAATTCAAAACCTTGATTGTGTGCGTGTAGAAGGGGCCCGATAAGACATTGTGCCCAGGGGCCTCTGAATTCTTAATCCGGGCCTGAGTAGATGGTGTTCATTAAAGTTGATAGGGAGATTTATTTGTAATAAAATAAAGAACAGACCACTTTATGTTTATTTTGTTATAATGACTGTCTATTTATAATAACTATTTATAAACATGAGTATTTAATTTTTTTAACTTAAATTTTCTTCCCTTTACCATGATCTGTCAACATTTCAGCTTTACTGTGCTGCCCAAAGTCCTTTTACATTATTGCCAATACGAAATCACAAACTAGTTTAAAATGCACTTAAAGCATACCCACGTACCGACTGCTGTAGAGAATGACTCCATCAGGCTGCAGGCGTATGAGTTTGTTCTCCACAGTAACATCATGAAACCAGGCTGATTTGGCATTAACTATGAATGTGTCTGGTAACCAGAGTTTGTCCACAAAGCGGCTGTCCAGGCCAAGAGTTTTGTTTGTGTGGTTGTAGGACAGACGGTCATCTCTCCAACTCTGCCGCAGAAACACCGTCATGGTGTATTCCTGTCAAAACAAATGCACGAAAACAAAACAGTTGTTTAGTAACATTTCTGGCATATATTGTTGTGTATTGTACATATTTACAGATAAGTTTACTTTAAAGCACTGAGTTAAATCAAGCAATAAGCCATTAGAAGCTATGCATTAGAATGGTTTTTAACATCGATATGGGGTGTTATTGTTCTTCCTAAAACCCCTGAACAGTGGTAAAATCAATAATTAATATAGATAATAATAATATTTATTACTTTTGACAAATAGGTGTGCTGTGACAAAATAGATGTGATGTGGTCAGTGTGGTGTGACAAGGGCACACACAAAGTTTGGTGGCAGCTTCAGATTCAGTTTCGTATAATGCCATCAAATTGGTTAATACATCAAATAATAACCATTTGGTCTAGTAACACAGAATCCACAACGTTATCTGGTATGGTCTGAATATAGATAATAGGCAAAAAACAAACTAAAACCTTCCACAAGGAGCTTGACTCACTTCAGCATGAGGTAAGTTCAAAAGTTATTGGCAGAAACATGAGTGCAAATTTAGTAGTGCTAAAAGGTTTGAGTTACAGATTTCAATATTTCTTTGGTTAATATTCAGTATATCTGTGTACCAAGTTTCATAACCTTCCTGCAAGCAGTTCTCTGGAATACCATAGACTTAACAATTGGTGCTTACGAACCATCTGTGCTTGGTTCCTAATATGCATTACTATTGAATGTGTGCATTTATACAGCGTTTTTCAATGCATTTGAACACGACTCAACCAATCAGAATTAAGGTAATTTATTACCTTTTTAAGACTTTGACAGCAAAGCCATGTGTTCATTAAATCATTATAACACACTTAATAAAAAAAAGCAGCAGAGTTGAAAGATTAGATTTATATGTTTAAAATTTTAGATTAGGGAACACTATTCATTATTAACTAGTTGCCTATTAGCATGCATATTATTAATACTGGCTGCTTATTAGTAATTATAAAGTACATATTAATGCATGACCATATTCTAAGATCATACCCCATACCTAAACATAACCACTACAACAACTGCCTTACTTAATATCAATTAGCAGCAAATTAGGATTATATTGAGGGAAAACTCTCAATTAATAGTGAATATGTGTTCCCTAATCTAAAGTGTTACCAAATTATTTAATGCATATAGCAAATTTATACAATTTGACATTACATATGTTTCACTCAGTTTCATTCCGAGATTTTAAAAGACTGTGATAAATAAACCAGCTCATAAACACACATATGTCATTCATTAATAACTGTTGGAGCAAAGCCTACTGACAAGCATTGGAATATGTAGTCATATTTATCTTTACAGTTGTTTAATATAGGCTAAGCTTTACCCAAATTTCTTGCACTTGCACATAACTCAGACTTTCTCACTCACACCATCATATCAAGCTCACATAGGAAAGTTCTTTACTGGATGTGCTGTGTTGCTCTGCCTTTCTCTTTAAAGGGGTCATGACATGAGAAATCAATTTCACTGAACCATTAAAACTTCCTGTGAGTTTGAGAGCTTACAATAAAATCCTTAGTACAAAAAGACCATTTATTTAAGCTCCACAAAGCTCCACTGTGGCCTTTTGGCTTGCTTAGCAGTGGTGAAAAACACTTATCGATGTGATTGCACTGACAAAAAGTAAAACGTGAACTGAATTAAGATGGATGATTGCACTATTGTCTTTTGTAGAAATGCTTTACAGCTGAATTGTGTCTTGTAACATCAGCACTGTTATTGAACGTAACTGAATCAACATTGACTGTCTCGACATTGCTACCTTTTGTTGAACTGCATATAGCTGAATTGAACTTGTTTCAAAATTGACAAACTTCACACCGGAATTGTTCTGAACTGAACCAACACTGAACTGACTTGAGCTAAATAATTACATTATTGTCTTCTAGAGCGTGCTTTGCAACAGAATCTGAAGTGTCTCCATAGTTCAGGCAAAAGTCGTTGTTAATGGTTAGTTAATATTGAGAATTGGATCCCAAACTGAAGTGAGACCCAGTGCTCATATACTCTCACAGTCTGCGGTAGAATACAGAAAAATTATGATTCTCACCTTTATCTCTATACCAAAATATCAGTTTTCTGAATCATCAAAATATTGGTTTGTCTCTACCAAAATAGTTTGTATTTGTCTTTATCTGTGGATTTTTAAGTATTTGTATATTATCTAATATGCTGAGGATGATGTTGACCCTTCGGTTAAAATCAGTAGCGGTGGGGGGTGGTGACTGAAGCGTATGTGTGTTGGAGCAGGTTTGGAACAAAACTCTGCAGGGCTCCGGCCCTCCAGGAATTGAGGTTGACAGCCCTGTCACTTCGAAAAGTGGCCTGGACATGTTCCTTTGTGACATATCATGATACATATTGTATTGTAAAGAATGCATCATTTTATGTATTGTATTGTGAAGTAACAAACAATATCCAGCCATAATTTATAGCCTACAGGGTCAGACATTAATGGGGGCTTGGACAAAATAAGCCAAAACAATACTCCCCAAATTCAAGATAATGAGGCAAAATAAACCCCTGTACAATTAAACTAAATTTATTATTATTGCTGTGATTAAAGTGAGATGTGATGATTAATGAAAAGTGTTGATTACAGCATTACATTTAGATCTGCTCACGTTGCATCATTTTGAAGCGTTGAGCATTAACCAAACATACGTTTCTGGCCAAACAGAGATCAGATTAGTCACCGGTGATCAAGAACGTTCAGTGCGCATGTTCATTGACTGAATTCCACACTCTCAAGCGGGAGTTTTTGCAAGAGCGCAGAGCTCAGTCAGTGAGCTTAAGTCATGAATCACTTCAATGATGGGGAACATTTTTTGCTTGCTTTCTGTATATAATTGAATCCCAGTTTAAATAATCATTTTGTTTTTTTATGCTTCTAAAATAACCAAAGTAAAGTCTTGATTTTTTTAAAGCGTAAAAAGCAATAAACGAGTTCATAAATAGCTTTTAGCTTGTTTTGTCTGTGTAGCCTGTATATGACATTCCACTTCCCAAAAACACATTTCTTATGTATTCCATTAATCAAAATTAATATGCATTATTACAATATCAAGAGCAATGATTGACAATGATGATTGTTGTAATAATATTGCATAAAAAAATGTCACATGTCACTTCACTTCACTTTCATTGTTATGTAACACTTTATTAAAAATCCCTGTCCTACATAAAAAGAAACGACAAGACTCAGGCAAGCATAATATGTGGAAAACTTAGCAGTCTTGTGACTTCTACATATGTATATTTGCCAGAGTTACTTCCTGTGTTTTTACACCTGAGGATGGTGTTTAGATGAACACTGAAATAGACTTCCGGTTATGGCGTTGGAGTGAGGTCAAGGTTTCAAACCCTCCGGCTTTATTAGTAATTTATTTGTTTTCAAACTCACACATAACACTTTATTAACACGTGTGAGATTTATATTTGAACCGTCGCAAAATGCCGTCGAAGAAGAAGATAAAAAATCAAGGGAAATTGGACATTGAAACGCAAAACGTGCCCTCAGACCCTGACAGTTCTAATGAACAACATGACGAGACTGGGGAAGAAGATGGTGGAGAGGTCGCAGTTGTTAAGAATACTAGTAATGCCGATATAATGGAAGCATTAAAGGGATGGAAAAGCGAGTCGGCAATAAGATCGACAAGGTTCTTTCAGCGGTCACAGAGGTTAAAAAGAGAATGACGGAAGCAGAGGAACGGATCTCAGGCGCTGTGGACGAGATCGTTCAATTACAGACTAGAGCTGAGTCATTGGAAACGCAGGTGAAATCGCTGTCGGATAAAGTGGATGATTTGGAGTGTAGAAGTCGGAGGAATAATCTCAGATTGGTCGGTCTTCCAGAGAAGGAGGAGGGAACGGATGCATGTGATTTTTTGGAAAAGTGGCTGCCAGAGATTTTGGAGATGGATCCATCCAACACTTCACGATTGTCTGATATCCTACATCATGAAGTTCCTTAATTTCAAGCAGAAAGAGCAGGTACTGAAGGCTGCTAGGTCGAAGGGATCCATTGTATATAAGGATCACAATCTCCGTTTTTTCCCTGATGTATCGGCTGAGGTCCACAGAAAGCAGAGGAGCTACGATGCAGTTCGAAAAAGATTACGTGAAAAGGGAATAAATCGGCACAGAATCATTTTTCCTGCTCGGCTGCTTCTCACGCACGGAGACTGTACGATGACATTTAATAGCCCAGAAGAAGTCGAGAATTACCTGCAACAAAAAGATGGCTAGCAACTTGTGGAGTAGTAGCCTATGTAAACGGAATTTCTCAAGAAGCGAACAAGTATTGTTCGAGAAGTTTAGTTTATATTTTTTGTTAAAGTGCCCACGAAATGTTTTTTTTTCTTTTAAATAATTAATAATACGGAGAAAACTGATTGATACAAACACAGGCCTACAGTGTGACGAGTTGAAGACGTATTGGATAAATGGACATGTTTGATGAACAGAAGAGGGCATTATTTTGTTTTGTGAACTGCAAAACTACAGAAAAATGTAGGTTGATTTTGAAACAGGCTGATTATTTGTATAATTATTTTTTCATTATGTATTTAGTTTAATTGTTATTTCTAAGATACACAAGTATTACTAGCTCTACAAGTTTTCAGTGCAAATTGTGACGAAATAGCATTATAAAGGCGAAATTATATTTTGGTTAAGAATATCTTTAAATGTGGGTAATAAGTAATAATGGGGGTTGAAATAACACAAATAATAATTTATAGAGTCTAATAGGTTTGCACAGTAGTGTGTGTGGGAAAACACCATTCGAGAAGCTAATCGAGGGGGAGGGGTTACTGATATAGGGGTAATCGGTAAAATATAGGGATTGAGCGGGGTGAATCAATTCAAAGTGTTAAATTTTTGTTATGTGTTAATTTTTGTATGGCTTCCTGTTACTTGACAATTAGGAGTACTTTAAGGCAATATTTGACTTAATAATGTCACAAGTAGGTAGAATTAACTTTCTATCGTGGAATTGCAGAGGTTTGGGTAAATTCAGGTGAAACAGAGAATTAAGCAATTGCATGCAACAGTGGTGTTCTTACAAGAGACGCACATGACAAAGGAAGAGGTTGTGAAAATAGAAAGGCGGTGGCATGGGCAAGTTTTCTCAGCATGCTTTACAACACAAGCCAGGGGAGTTATAACTTTGATACATAAATCTGTGCCTTTTCAAGTGCAGGATATAATTAAGGATTCAGCTGGTAGATTTGTAATAATTCAAGGGGTGCTGTTGACAGAGAGAATAAATTTAGTGAACATATATGATCCTAACAAAGATGACCCCAGGTTTTATAGTAATATATTTCTATTAGTTGCTTCACTACAAGGACAAAATATTATAGCAGGGGATATAAACTGCACCCGTGATCCAAAAATGGATCGTTCTACTGGCATCGATACTAGTCATTTATACTCTAGGAAGCAGATACAATATTTTATGAAAGAGCTTGTCCTAGTGGATATATGGATATATATCTTAATCCGACTGTAATTTCATATTATTGTTATTCTGCAACACACCAAACTTACTCCCGAATTGATTCTTTTTTTTATCTCAGCCCAAATACTGTATAAGATCATAGACTGTCAATATCATAATATTGTAATTTCTGACCACGCAGTAGTGTCTTTGATATACATTGATACAGACTTTGTTAGAAACCTTTCAAACAGGGTGGTTGGAAGATCCATCATTTGTTGACTTTTTAGGTAAACAAATAGATATTTACTTTGAAACAAACCTATCTGAAACGTCGGCGGGGGTTCGTTGGGAGGCATTTAAAGCTTTTTTGCGGGGACAAATTATCAGTTTTTGTAGTTCAAAAAAGAAAAAATCTCAACAACAATTGAAAACATTGGATATGAAGATTAAAAGGCTGGAAAATGAGATTTATCAGAAAGGTTTGGTGTCTTCAAATTTGCATAAGCAACTCTTGTTGCTTCGTTCAAAGTACAATACATTATCAGCAAATAAAATGGCTACAAAGCTATTGAAATTGAAACACACTTTTTATGATCAAGGAGAAAAGACAGGAAAGGTACTTGCATGGCAGATAAAAACTAGGCAAGCTGAAAGAGCTATTGCTTACATAGAAAATACTGACGGTAGTAATATAGTTGAACCACGGCAAATAAACGAATCGTTCAGGTCTTATTATGTGAAATTATATAGTTCGGAATGTTCATCAGGCTCTGAAGTGCAAAAAGAATTCTTAGATAATTTGGATTTACCATATACATCAGATGAACAAAAAAAAGATTTAGGAAAAGATATAAGTTTGCAAGAAGTTATTGACGCCATCGAGTTAATGAAGGCTGGAAAAGCAGCAGAACCAGACGGTATCCCTATAGACATATATAAAACATTTTAAGATAAATTAATAAGACCCATTTTAGAGATGTTATTGGAAGCTTTTGAAAAGAATACGCTGCCTGTATCTATGAGTGAGGCTTTAATTACTTTGCTTCCTAAACCAGGAAAGCTTAATAATAAATGTGAAAATATGTGCCCTATAAGTTTACTAAATTCAGATACAAAAATGATATGTAAAATTTTGGCAAGAAGGTTAGAAAACGTATTACCATATTTAGTAGGGAATGATCAAAATGGTTTTATGTTGCATAGACAAGGATGTCATAACTTTAGAAGGGTACTGAATATTTTGCATGATCAGAGGGGAAGAAAAGACACTGCTTTGCTTTCATTAGATGCTGAGAAAGCATTCGACAGAGTCGAATGGGATTTTTTTGTTCGACGTGTTAAAACGCTTTGGACTTGGAGAGAATTATTGTAAATGGGTCAGACTGTTATATAATAACCCCATAGCTGAGGTCCTGACTAATAATATGGTGTCAAAGCCATTTAATATTTCTAGAGGTTGTAGACAGGGCTCTCCTCTTTCTCCGCTGCTTTTTCTTTTAGCCATCGAACAATTTGCAATTGCATTTAGAAGAAATAAGGATATAGAAGGAATAACAATCGCCATTTTTGAACACAAAATAGCTCTTTTTGCAGATGATGTTATATTGTTTTTAAAGAAGTCAGATATATCTATTCCAGCTCTACTTAATCTAATCGAGATATTTGGGAAAATATCAGGGTACCAGATTGATCATTCAAAATCTTCTATAATGATATTGAAAGAGGAAGAAAGAAATAATCCTACAAATAACATTAACATGTTTAAAACATCCAGTGTCTTCACATATTTGGGTATTAAAATTGTCCCAAAGGTGGAGGATGTGGTTATAACAAATTATGAATCTGTTTTTGATAAGGTAGCAAAGTCAATTGAACGATGGACCTCACTACCCATCTCTGTAATAGGGAGAATAAATATACTAAAAATGAATATATTGCCTAAATTCTTATATTTATTTCAAAATATCCCTCTAGCAACTCCAAGCTCATTATTTTCTAGACTCAAGAAACTTGTTAATAAAATTCATAAGGAATAATAGAAGATCAAGACTTAGGCTATCCGTTTTATATCTGCCTTATGATAGAGGAGGACTTCATTGCCCTAATTTTCAATGGTAGTATTTGGCAGCTCAATTAAGATTTATTATGTTTTTCTTTTCCTCTTCTCAAGACCCACCTACTTGGCTAGAATTAGAAAAAAAATCAATCAAATCAGATCTCTCCCTGGAAACATACTTATATGATTCAGATCGCAAAGTATTAAAGAAAATGAAAGAAAATGTGACTAATCCAATAGTCTTAAACATGGTAAGGGTGTGGCATGAAACGCAGAGATATTTGAATATTTCATACAATTCATTATCTCGTTATTGCCCTATACGGGGAAATACAAAATTTATTCCGGGAAGAACAGATGTAGGCTTTAAATTATGGGCAAAAAAGGGAATTAAAAATATAAAGGATTTATATGTGGAAGATAGATTGATGTCCTTTCAAGAGTTGATTACCAAATTTGATATGTCTAGAAATCATTTTTTTAGGTATTTACAAATAAGGAGTTTTATTTTGTCATTTCATAAATGTTTTATTAATATACCCCCTTTATCCATTTTGGAAAAGGAAATGACCAAAAATTGTAATAGTAAAGGTTTGATTTCACTTTTATATAACATGTTTGTAGAAGGATCTCAGGAGTATGCAAACTCTCGTTTAGAGGCATGGAGGAAGGACCTCAATGAGGAGATTTCAATAGATGATTGGAGAGAGGCCTGCAGAGATGCTCAGATGCAAACTATTAATACAAGATTGAAACTGCTACAATATAATTGGCTAATGCGAGCGTATGTAACTCCAGTATTATTAAACAAATTTAATGAAAATATCATAGACATATGTCCTAAATGTAATTTATTTAAAGGTACTTTCTTTCATTGTGTATGGGAGTGTGAAGAAATCTTGAAGTTTTGGAAGGGAGTGCAAAATTTGATAAGTAAAATAATTAATGTAAGAATAGTACCCCTTGAACCAAAAGTTTTTATATTAAATTTATATCCTAATAACTTTAAATTGAGAAGAAGAGAACATATTTTTGTTTATATGTGTACTCTACAAGCTAAACGTCTCATAGCTCTTCACTGGAAAAAAGGTAGAGGCACCGGGTATAGGGAGATGGTTAAAGGAGTTGGCAACAAACATGTCATTGGAGAAAATAACATATATTATTAAGGGCAGATATAAGGCTTTTGAGGATGCTTGGAAACCCTTTATGATTTTCTTGGAAGGAGAAAATAATGGAGATGTATTTGATGGGATATTTGAAGACATATAATAAAAGAAATGACGAAATTGTCTTGTACTAGGAGGCCTTAAACTTTATTTTATTTTGTATATGTTTGTGTGTGTATATACAGTATATATATATATTTTATTTTGAATATGTTTGTATTTATGTGTATATGTATATATATATGTATAAATTAGAACTGTGAAATTGGTATGTGTATATGTATACTGTGTATATATACATATTTTTATTTATTTACATTTTCTGGTTGATTATTTGTTTGTGAATGTATTATGTGTTTGTTGTAAGTTTGTGTTAACATAGCATGTTAGTGTTGTTGAATTTTGTTATGTAAATATAAAAGCAATAAAAAAAAGAAGAAAAAAAAAAAGAAATGTATTGTTGCTTATTATGTGTCCAGTGATTTTTTAAATTTGTTTGAACATTTTATTAACTAGATGTTTTTGTAAATCATGAATTGACATAGATTTACTCCTACTGTTTATTCTATTTATTATTCTGTAACTGAATCCACTCCATTTGGAAAGGAAAATATTCAAAAGAAGTTTAGCACATTCAAAACTTTTTTTTCAGTACTACAAAAAAACAGATCCAATACATCATATATGCGAAATAGGGTGATATCCAAAACATTACCATGTTGGCTTCTGAGATATGGTCAATACTGGCAACTTCAATGGCCATGGAGACATTTACAGGAGGTCCTGTGGAGACATGTGAGAAAAGGAAAATTAATGATCAGACTTCCAAAAACAAAACAAAACAAAGCAAAAATATATATATATCTAATTAATATATACCATGATAAAAGATAAAAAATGAAGTAATCAAATAAAATAATCAAATTCAATCCCTGGACAGCATTAGATGGATGTTGTTTCAAGGCTGTACAGTAAAATATCACCTCCACTAATGTGTTATTTTTGTAGAATGGTATGTTTATGAAAGAAAAGCAGATGCAAGGCACTTAGATGGGGTGTATAGTCACAACAAAAAGCCTCGAGTGCCTTGGATTTGTTGTGAGTCATGTGACAGAAAAAGCTATGAGTGTGACTGTATAATTTTTAGTATTAATTACATAAATATTTTATTATATATTAGCCTTTTCATTTTATTGGACAGAACAGTGTGAGAAGAGAGAAGCAGCAACAGGGGAACTGGGTCAGCAAAGGACATTGAGCCAAGACTCAAGGTCTCCTGATATGGCACCATACGTCTGTCACGGTTGCCTACAGGAGGAGCACGGAGCGAGTAACGAGGAATGAGGAATGAGGAGACGTAGAGTACATCAACAAGGATTTTAATTTGAATGAACTTCAGAAGGGGAGACACAGGGCAGGCAGGAACACAACATGTAGCACAACATCGATGTTTAAGACCTGACAGAGACAGACTGAACAGACTAGAATTTAAGTACACAGGGGAACAAGGATAATTAACTAAACACAGCTGGGGACAAATGAAGAACTAATCAGGGAGCAGAAACAGGAAAACCAAATAAGGGAATAGAAACACATGGGGAGCAAAACACACAAAAAACATGGAACAGAGTCTGACATTACTCCTCCCTCCCGTAAGGCATGTCCCGCGCCATAACAATTCCACTAGGGAGGGGGGTGGGCGCCCTGGAAGCTGGTGCAGGACTGGGACATGGGGAATACAGATAAGGCAGTCCAGAGTGCCATGGCACAGGGAGCTCAGGGGCCCATGGCGGAGCAGGGAGCTCGGGGAGCCATGGCAGAGCAGGCAGTTCAGGAGGCCATGGAGGAACAGGCAGACTGGGAGGCCATGGCGGAGCAGACAGTTCAGGAGGCCATGGCGGAACAGGGAGCTCGGGGAGCCTGGCCTTGGGGACTGGAACCCTCCCTGGGTGAAACTCGGGGACTGGAACCCTCTCTGGGCTAAACTCGGGGACAGGAGCACTCACCTGTCCCCTAGGAATCCTGGGGGGGCGCTCTGGAGGAGCAGGCACATGAGGGCGCTCTCGAGGAGCGGGCACTTGAGGGCTCTCTAGAGGAGCAGGCACTTGAGGGCGCTCTGGTGGGGATTCAGGGACTGGAGCCCTCCTTGGGCTAAGCACGGGGACAGGAGCCTTCACTGGGTTAAACTCGGGGACAGAAGCCCTCCGTGGGCTATACTCGGGAACTGGAGCCTTCCGTGGGCTTAACTAGGGAACTGGAGCCCTCCCTGGGCTTAACTGGGTATCTGGAGCCCTTCCTGGGCTAAACTGGGAACTGGAGCCCTCCGTGGGCTTAACTAGGGAACTGGAGCCCTCCCTGGGCTTAACTAGGGAACTGGAGCCCTTCCTGGGCTAAACTGGGGATCAGGAGCCCGTCCTGGGCTAAATGAGGAATCAGGAGCCCTCCCTGGGCTTAACTGGGGATCAGGAGCCCTTCCTGGGCTAAACGAGGATTCAGGAGCCCTCCTGGGCTTAACTGGGGAACAGGAACCCTCCATGGGTTATACTCGGGAACTGGAGCCCACTCTGGGCTGGATTTGGGGACCGGAAGCGCTTACGAGGAGCTGGCACTGGAGGGTGCTTTGGAGGAGCAGGCGCAGCAAGGCGCTTTCGAGGAGCGGGCACTGGAGCGAACTCAAGGGCTGGAGTCGACACTGGAGCGAGCTCTGGGGCTGGAGCCGACACTGGAGCAAACTCTGGGGCTGGAGCCAACACTGGAGCGCGCCTTGGTACCAGAACCAACCGCCTTCTCCTCAGGTTCTCCTCTAGGCTCGGTGTGAAATGTGTGGCTGGCGGGCTTGCCGTTGCAGTGATCGGCGGGCTTGGGTCAATGGCGGCCGGCGGGTTTGACTTCATAGCAGCCGGCGACCTAGGGACCAGAACCAACCGCATTCTTCTCCACAGATTCCCCTCTAGGCTCGGGGGGAAAGGCGCGGCTGGCAGGCTTGCCGTTGCGGTGACCGACGGGCTTGAGAAAGCTGCAGGTGGCGGGCTTGACTTTGTAGTGGCCGGCGGGCTTGACAACGGCACGGTCGGTGGGCTTGACAACGCCGCGGTGAAGCGTGCGGCGGATTCCATTCCGCCGGGAGAAACCAACGGGAAAAAACAAAAGACTTTCAAAAGCGGAAATATAACGGGGAGAGGGGGCGCCGCTTACTTCTTTTGGGTCCTGTATTCTGTCACGACTGCCTACTGTGGCGGAGACGAGGAGACGAAGAGGATTAACATGAAACAGACCTTTATTCATCCAAATAAAGCACATACAGACAGGAACTCACAAGTAGGACGAGGGTTGACATTCAATACAGGACAATACAGGACTGCACAGACTCGAACTTAAATACACAGGGAAACGAGGATGATAACTAGACACACCTGGAACACATTGGAAACAATTAGGACAGGAACAGGAAGGACCAAATATGGGCATGGAAACACAAAACACGGAACAGAGTCTGACAGTAGCAAAGAGAGTGACAGGCAGCATTTCAGGTTGTGTGTATTTCCGAGGACTGGTTTGTCACCATAGATTTGAAGGATGCACACTTCCATGTCAACATCCTTCCCAAACACAGGAAGTTCCTGAGGTTTGCTTTCAGGGGCAAAGCATACCAACACCGGGTTCTTCTCTTCGGTCTAGCACTGTCATCTCGCACTTTCACCAAGTGTGTGGATGCTGCCTTGACACCTCTCAGACTCCAGGGCATCCGCATACTAAATTACATCGACAACTGGCTGATCTTAGCCTAGTCGGAGCAGATGGTGGTTTAGCATTGAGATGTTGTTGACATCAAAGAGCTGGGGTTGAGGCTAAATGCCAAGAAGAGTGTGCTTGATTCGATGGTGATGCAGGCATGTCTGTCTCCTGCTCGTATTGATTTGATCCTCACAGCCATGAACAGTGTCAATCTAGGCCAGTCACTCACTACAAAACTGTTTCAGAGACTGCTGGGTCTGATGGCAGCAACGTCCAAAGTGATACTTTTTGGCATGATGTACATGAGACCCCTGCAGTGGTGACTCAGGACCAAGGGATTTTCCCCGAGGGGCAACCCATTTTGCATGGTCACACGACGCTGCCTTTGTGCCTTAGTCAAGTCGTGGGGGGGTGGGGTGGGGGGGTCTGTGGTCGCATCCAATTTGCAAACTGGCACACCAGATCCTCCTGTGGGCCCAGGGAAGGCTGCTGTCCCCAAGGCAAGTCTAAATCCCAGGGCATCTCAATCAGGGAGTAGACATACTGTCAAGGCAGGGGCCAAGGCCCGGGGAATGGAGGCTCCACCCCAAGGTTGTGGGGCATATTTGGCTGCATTTGTATGTCTTTCCCCTGATCACTCTGCTCCAGGGAGTTCTGCAGTGAGACCGCCAGGATGGAGTCAGTCTTCTACTAGTAGCCGCATTCTGGCAAGCCCAAGTTTGGTTCTCAGACCTTGTGTCCCTTCTTGACAGGTCTCCATGGGAGATTCTGATCAGGAGGGACCTTCTGACTCAGGCCGGTAGCACAATTGTTCATCCTCGCCCAGAGTTATGGAAACTGTGGGTGTGGCCTCTGAGGGGGCACAACACATACAGTAGCTTCCGGTCTCTCAACTGAAGTTGTTGAGACCAGCTCCTCTCCAGAGCTCCCTCTATGAGGAAACTGTACTCCTTGAAGTGGAAGCTTTTCACTTCATGGTGCGGAGATCGCCAGTTGGACCCAGTTAACTGCCTGGTTGGTTCAGTGATGGAGTACTTTCAAGAGCAATTCTCTGCAGGGTTGACTCCCTTCATCTGCTTACCACGGCCTTTTGGGTGGTCAGTCATTAGGGAGAAACCCGCTTCTCTCAGTAGAGTTGGCAATCTTCAGGCCCTTTCAGTGGCCCCTTCATGTCTGGACTTTGCACCTGGGATGGTCAAATAATTTCTGCATCTGAGGCCGGGTTATGTGCCAAACGTGCCTACCCAGGTTCTAAGGCATTCTGTTCTCCTCCCTTCCGAGAGCCAGACCAGGAAAAGCTTACCTTGGTGTATCCAGTTCGAGCACTGGACACAGATGTACACAGAGCTGCCCTGTGAAGAAAGATCAACTGATCAACTTTTTGTTTGCTTTGGTCCACCTAAGAGAGGTCTCTCGGCAACCAAGCAGACACAAAGCAGGTGGATAGTTGAGGCTATCTCTCTGGCTTATGAGTCCTCTGACCTCCAGACACCTTTGGCGGTCAGGGCCTACTCAACCTGAAGTATGGCGGCCTCTAAGACCTTCTTATCTAGAACTTGTCTATAGTATACACAATGTTTGTGAGGCTGTGGGTTGGTCTATCCCACTCACCTTTGTCAGGTTTTATAACCTAGATGTTGGGACCCCTCTGGGCTCTAAAGTGCTTCTGTCTTTGAGATGTGCACATCGACTTCACACTAGACAGGCATTCGTCAGTATGGCGGAGTTGGTATTCTCATTCCCAGAACGTTTCCGACACAGCACGATTTCCTGAAGGGGAACGTCTCTAGGTTATGTATGTAACCATGGTTCCCCAAAGGGAACAAGATGCTTCGTCACCCTGCCATACTTCCTGCATCCTTGTGAGCGCTTGCTTGCTTATAAGCTTCTTGTGCTTGGGTATGCTTTTAAGCTTCTTGGTCGCTATGCTGACTCATAATATCAATGGCTGACCTTGTCTAGCCGACCAAATGTTATTTTCTTGATCAGGTTCAATTTCAATATTTATTTGAAGAGAAACCATAAAAATATTGTGACATGAAAATGAAATGAAAATGACATCACATGATGCTTAGTGATAAAACATTTATTTTTTAATTTGCAGGGGGCTGTTTGGTTAGTAACATGAAGTAACATGAGTAAAATGAAACATTTTCTTTTTTGAAAGAAATAAGACATTGACTAACAATTTGTATTCATTATTTTGAACTCAAGGCTCACTCAATTCAGAAAAAAGTGGACATGGCAAAAACTGTAATTTAAGGGACATGAAGTCAAACTGAAAAATTTGGTGTACAAAAGATTAGTGTGAGATTATAGCATGTATTCTCTTAGAAAACTGTTTAAAAAAGAATTAGCATCAATGGACATGAAATGTAAGCTAAATTATAGAATGGCCCGCTTATTATAATCAATTATATCTACAGTTTCAGAAATTAGGAAAAATAAATGAAGAGCAGTGGGTCCCCAGGTCTGCAGAGGAGAACCACTGACCTACTGAATAAGATATTTATTACTAGGTACTTATCAATACTGACATGTGGTGTGCCTCTCACCAGCTTGTTTCTTAGGGTGTACTCACTAGGCATTTTGAATAGATGGTTCGGTTGGGCTCGGGCGCGGTACGCATGCAGTGTGAGTGCTAACCGCGCCAGAGCACAGAACAGATACTATTTTGTGTGCGCTACGGTCATCATTATGACCGCTGCAAACATATTCTATTAGCCTACTACTACTACACTACACTTTTCAATTAATTGAATTTAATCAAGTATATTTAGGTTTATAATGGCTCTGGTTCTTCCCTTATTGATGAACAGGAAATGTAGTTTGCGAGTAAAGCTGCAAATTATTTCATTAACGTCAGCTGCCTCCGTAATAATTTTCTGATACATACAAGTGAAAATCAATGCACGGCATAAATGATAAATTAATTATTCTGCAGAATATTAGCGAAAGTGGTTTTCTCCGTTATCTCATAGTAAGTGTGCTCCGGCCCGGAATCTTTAGTGCAAGTGTGAATACAGGCTAGCGGGGGAGTGGGGAGGGGGGATAATCGCGCTCGGGCTCGGTTCAAGGCAACCGTGCCTAGTGTGAGTACACCCTTAGGATATGATTCAAATATATTGTAGGAACGCTGAGTGAGAGGTTTGTTGTGAAAAAAAGAGAGGCTAAATATTGATGCTAAAAATGACTGCAGGAGGTTGATCGGTGTAGTGCAATCCACTGTGATAAGCTATGCATATAAAACTCACCTCCAATTCCTGGGCGAAAGTTTCGAGCATACCCTTTCATTAAATCATCCAGATTAGGCAACCAGGATATTTCAATGTCTGTGCCAACATAGTCACCAATATCACTCAGCATGGCCCTATGGGGACAAAACAAACAAATGTTCTTCACTTTCTCTTTCACAATTTTATCAAAGATGCAGATGTGGATGTGTAACGTGTAATTGCAGTTTGATAGTCACAATATTGAAATATATTATGTGCACATATTTAGTTGAAAGTGGACTTGAATACAGGACAATTGGATGGATTGAAAAAGGTTTTAATTACAGGCGTTAGGGAAAACCGGATAAAACACAGAATCCGGGATTTTAGTAGCCCAAAAATGAATTTAACTAGCCCAAATAAAATATATTGTATTTTTTCTTCAAATAACAAGTCAAGAGAGTAGGGGTGCAATGGATCACAAATTTCACGGTTCGGATTATATTATATTATCATATCACATTTTGAGTCACAGATTGGATAATTTTTGATGAGCAAAAGAAATATGGTTCTTTATTATTTAAGTAACACTTATTATTTAAAGAACAATTTACTACTTCGATACCACAGCAAAAACTAGTAGCATATAGGGATGTAACGATTCACTTAACTCACGATGTGATATGATTCACAATACTGATTTCACAATACAATTTTCTTACCATTTATTTTTTAACAAAAGAAGATTTAAGACCGATTTAAAAAAAAAATGGTTCCCTTTTGTTATTTCTCAGACCAAAAGGCTGCACATTACTTTGTGAAACTGAAAATGTCAAACAATATACCAACTTGATTTTTAGTACGCTGCATGCTCCTTTTGCTAGACTGCTCAAGTACCCTTTTGGGTAGAATAGGGTAACTCACAAGAGTTTCATTTACCTCCCTCTGCAACTGTTGTTGGGTCTTGAAGAAGAGATGTATGCTCCCCTTTAAATGGTTACACTGGGGTCTCTAAATAGGGTCTGAGCTCCCCTGGGGTTTAGAACTCGGGTAATGAAAGTTACTTGGCAAACTGCATCATGTCCTGCTCTTGTTTGCCTCCCTTTCCTGAGTAATGCCGGGTTCATACTGCACGATATTCAAAGTCGTCGGATCGCTGCTCTTCTCACACTGCACTACTACACTGTAGTTATGAATGGGTTATTAATCACTGACTCTCCAAATCGTTCAAAGACGCAGATTCGTTCACTAACGAAACACTGTTGTATGATGCTTGGAGATGCACACCAGATGATACGGATTTCGTTGGAACTATTATTTCTGTTGCAAAATAGAACAAACATGACAATATTCTGTTCAAAATGTAGGCTACATTTAAAATGTAAAATGTTCATTAAAGGGGTCCTATTATGCTTTTTCACTTTTTACATTTTAGTCAGTGTGTAGTGTGTATGTTTGGGCAAGATCTAGAAAGTTACAAATCTCAAAGTCCACTCCAAAGGGAGATATTTCATTTTTTTAAAATCCCTTTTCAAGAACTACAACGAATGGCTCGTTTGGACTACAGCGTTGGTTTCCGGGCTTTGTGATATCACAAAGCGGCCCATTAGAATATCATTAAAAATAATTCCCGCCTACAGAAATTCGAATGGTTGGGGGGGGGGGGGGGGCGAGGTTGTGGTTAGAACGCTTGGTTGAGTGAGTGCATCAGACGAGACGATGACGAAGAAGTGCTGCTGCAGAGTTAGTGCATCAGAGAAAACGAAGAAGAAGAGCTGCTGTGCTGTAGCTTCAAATTTTCGGCATGTCTAGAATAATTCTTACAAGTACAACATGACATAGCTGGGCACTGCGGACAGACACCGAACGGCGCTGCCGGTGTGCCTACACTCATAGAAAATAATCTATTAGAATTTTTAAAATGTGGTGCTTCTCGTCCGGTGCGCGACAGCCTGAAATGCAGTTTTGTTCACCTCCGTGTCCAAACGTCTTTGTTTGGGCTTCCGAAAGTGGAAGATGTCAGGAAACAGTGTTAACTCTGTCCCTGAGCATTATAACCCCAATTTGCTATTGTGTGCTGCGCATTTTACAGAGGACAGCTTCCACAACATGAGGGAGTACAGTGCCTGCCGGATTCGCCAAAAAGCTTTTGTTGAAAAACGGAGCAAGGGGCGTGGCAGTACTGAAACACCGTCTAAGCTGTTCGCCAATCACAACGCACGGGGACAGCTAACCAATCAGAACACATTTAGTTTTTCGGAAGGCGGACCTTCATCAAAGCCGGAACTAATCGAGCCGTTTGTGCCAGAATGGGGAGAAAGGTATTTTAATAATGTAAATAATGTAAATAATGCGTTTTTCAAACCACCAAGCATGAGAGCATGTACACCCCCAAAACAAAATCAAGACTTTTTAAAAGAGCATAACAGGACCCCTTTAATATTACCTTGTTTGTTGAACTGTTGTAAAAATTTATCGTTTGGATTTTCAGGGAAATTTGCATTCTTGCTCGTATCTTAAACATGAAAACAATAACACGCACAGAGTGTGTCTGTATCGAAGAGAGTGTAAATCGATCTCAATGTACTCTGCGTGTCAATATTTGCTCTTCATGCTATTAAGTAAAGATCTACTTTAAAGATACATTGAACAGCAGCGCGATTTGCTAAAGCAGCATATTCAGCGGCCATCCTATCACATGCACGCTGCTTGTGTGGATGCAGTCAGTTTTGACCGCAAAAAATGAGGTAAGCTGATTGGTTATTATGTATTTGACCGTTTACGGCACCCCCATTTTCCTGTTTTTACATTAGAAGCGGCATTTTGCTTGTCAGAAATACGTTCGGTTTTAATGTTGCTTTAAGTTGGGGTATTAAATGAATGCCAAAACTCAGAAATTTGTTCGTGTACCCCTCACCGTCATCTCACGTATCCCCAGGGGTACTCGTACACCAATTTAAGAACTACTGGTGTAGGGCAATAGAAAATTTACTGTTTGTACAGTATAAAAACCGTTACGCCTATGGAATGTCCCCACAATTCACAAAAACAAACCTGTGTGTGTGTGTTCATTTACAGCAGCCATTAAACTGACTCTATGAACTGAACTGGGTGTGTCATAAAAGAGAATGCAAGCAAAATATATTAAGAGATGCTGTCTTAACCTGGGCTGTTTTTATACCTTTGAGATATGACATCTTTATTAAATAATCTGAAATGAGTTTGTGAGATTATGTTATTGTGCAAAACATTAAAAACAGTAAGTTGTAATTTGTTCAAATATCTTTAAAATAGCTATTCACAAGTTCACACTATATATAATTGGATTGAGCAAATAGTAAGCATATTTGGCGTGCTGTCCTGAGAGAGGGCTCCGAGCTCGGAATATAGCCCGAACCCAGAGAATTCCCCCAATCTATAGTATGGGATGATGATAGTTTAATAGTGAGGAGTTGGGATGGAGGAAGGATGCCGGAAATCTGTCGCGGGACAGAGGTAAGTTGGCTGTATATATATATATAGTTGTGTTTGGGAAATAGACGTACGAGTGCTGCCAGCATTGCTGCAGAGGTTAAAGGGGTGGGGGTCAGCCTGTCAGTGCTCAGACCATACGCCGCACACTGCATCAAATTGGTCTGCATGGCTGTCGTCCCAGAAGGAAGTCTCTTCTAGAGATGATGCACAAGAAAGCCCGCAAACAGTTTGCTGAAGACAAGCAGACTAATGACATGGATTACTGGAACCATGTCCTGTGGTCTGATGAGACCAAGATAAACTTATTTGGTTCAGATGGTGTCAAGCGTGTGTGGCGGCAACCAGGTGAGGAGTACAAAGACAAGTGTGTCTTGCCTACAGTCAAGCATGGTGGTGGGAGTGTCATGGTCTGGGGCTGCATGAGTGCTTGAGAGCACTGGGGAGCTACAGTTCATTGAGGGAACCATGAATGCCAACATGTACTGTGACATACTGAAGCAGAGCATGATCCCCTCCCTTCGGAGACTGGGCCGCAGGGCAGTATTCCAACATGATAATGACCACAAACACACCTCCAAGACGACAAGTGCCTTACTAAAGAAGCTGAGGGTAAAGGTGATGGATTGGCCAAGCATGGGCATCCTCAAACGGAAGGTGGAGGAGCGCAAGATCTCTAACATCCACCAGCTCCGTGATGTCGTTATGGAGGGGTGGAAGAGGACTCCAGTGGCAACCTGTGAAGCTCTGGTGAACTCCATGCCCAAGAGGGATAAGGCAGTGCTGGAAAATAATGGTGGGCGCACAAAATATTGACAATTTGGGCCCAATTTGGACATTTTCACTTAGGGGTGTACTCACTTTTGTGGCCAGCGGTTTAGACATTAATGGCTGTGTGTTGAGTTATTTTGAGGGCACAGCAAATTTACACTGTTATACAAGCTGTACACTCACTACTTTACATTGTAGCAAAGTGTCATTTCTTCAGTGTTGTCACATGAAAAGATATAATAAAATATTTACAAAAATGTGAGGGGTGTACTCACTTCTGTATATATATATACACACATGTATTGTGCTAGTTAAGCGGATTAACTGAAGAAGTTCCACCTGTGCCAAATTGGTTGATTATCTGATCGTACTCCTCCCAAACCTTGTTAATAAAACATAATTTCACGAGTTCGCACTTACATATAATTAGATTGAGCAAATAGTAAGCATTTTTCCTCATTTGTAAGTCGCTTTTAATAAAAGCATCTGCTAAATGTCTAAATGTAAATGTTAATATTTGCCATGCTGTCCTGAGGGAGGGCTCCGAGCTCGGATAGCTTGAACCCAGAGAACTCACTTCCAAGGCTCACTGCAATTGTGCTGCCGAACGTGCCCACTGTCCGATGCTGAATAAGCAATAAAACTTGAAATGACGGATGGAGGGTTCACACTGAAACCAAAGGGAGCTGCGGCTCACGGCATTGGAAGGGAGAGCCTCGACCACCGCCGAATGAGCAGCCCGATTCGAAGCATCGGATGGAGGGCTCACACTGCAATCGGAGGGAGCTGCCCCGATGCGAAAGGAGTGGCTCGAAAATTTTTCTGCTGGAAATCCCGATTGAGCGAGGATTACTTTTAAGTGTTTTTGGAACCAAAAACGTGTAACGGGGTGGGTAGAGTCATCGATGAATAG